GAAAGCCAGTTGCGAATGAGCTGCAGGTGCCCCTCTTGTGCCCAGGGCTGGTGGCAGGGCAAAAGCAACCCATTTCAGGGAAGATTTTTCATGGGGACGCCAGAGGGTGTAAGAACAGCCTTGTCCACCAGCAGAGCCCTCTGGGAACGAGATGGGGGGCAGGCCTTGAGCCCCGGGAGACCGTTGGCTGCAGCCCACTCCACAGTATGAGCCGGGACTCCCAGGATGCCGCGAGACTCTGGCCGCCTTTTGGCGAAAGAGCCCAGTTCTTCTCGGCGTGGCAGAAACCACGCTTCACCCAGAGACGCCGGCGCCCGCCTGCAGGAGAGAAACCCCACCGCTGCGGGCCGTGCAGGAGGACCATTGTCGTCCCGCCACAGAGATCCAGCTCACCTCCAAATTCCGCCTTGGCTCCTGTCCTGGATTCTGCCTCCGCCTCTTCTCTTGACTTGCCTCTTAACTCTGTAGGGGCAGCAACTACCCAGCTGCCAGGCGGGAACTCTGTTTCAGCCCAGCCCCGGAAACCCCACGGCTGCGAGGAGTGTGGCAAGCGGTTCCGAATCCTCGCCAACTTAGAGCGGCACCAGCAGCGCCACGCAGTGGAAAAGCCTCACCAGTGCCGTGATTGCGGGCGCCGTTTCCGCTGGGGCTGCCACCTGGAGCGCCACCGGCGGTCGCGCCGCTGCGTGGAGTGTGGTGGGGGGCTGGCCACGCCACCTCCACCCCCGTCCCCGCCCCCGGAACCCGACCGGCCCTATTCCTGCGGCGAATGCGGGAGGCGGTTCACCCAGCGCTCGGCGCTCAGCAAGCACCGGCGGCTGCACTCGGGGGAGCGGCCTTATGGCTGTGGAGAGTGCGGCAAGCGCTTCCTGCAGCGCTCCGACCTCACCATCCATGTGCGCTCACATTCCGGGGAGCAGCCCTACGTGTGCACGGAGTGCGGCCGCCGCTTCAGCGTCAGCTCGAACCTCAGCAAGCACAGGCGCATGCACCGCGGGGAGCGCCCCCACGCCTGCTCGGTCTGTGCCAAGCGCTTCCTGCAGCGCTCCGAGCTCCTCATCCACCAGCGTGCTCACACCGGGGAGCGCCCCTACCCCTGCACAGCCTGCGGGAAGCGCTTTGCTCGCCGGGCGCACCTCAAACGCCACCAGCGCACCCACGGCAGCGTGCCTGCCGCAACCACTGCCTCTCGTCACCAGAGTGCCCGTCTGCTGGCCCCCTCCGCAGCAGATACCACACCCCTTCTTGAACACGAAGGGGCATCCGATGCCCTGGAGTCACGCCCCTGCTCCAACACACATGCTGCGGGCCCGCGCCCACCAGCATCCGAGCCTGTCTTTTCAGCAGGCCGAAGTCCTGTGGGTGCTGCTTCGCTGGGCCTTCCCTGGGCCGTGACCTCCTCTGCCCGCCTCCCCTTCTGTTCCAGTTCTCTTTGATTTTGCTGTAGCTTTCCTGTATCCCTGCCCTTTGTCACTTCCTCGCGACCAGCAGGCTCCTCGGTTGAACCTCAGAGGCCCAGCTCTGGGTAGATGCAGTAGGGGCAGACCAGTTTCCAAAGGAGCAGGGGAGGCAGCAGGCAGTAGCTCGTATTTTTGGACCCAGCCCTTGTTTGCTAGGAAGCCTGGTGGTTTTCTTTTGCTTTTCCCCCCCTCCTTGGAGCCTGCTAGGTTCTGTGTAGGGCCCCGATTCTGTGGGTGAGATGGAGGGAGTAAGGTGGGCATGCCAAGACCTTGGATGAGATGTCAGCTGCGTTCCCTGGACTTTTGACTGGGCTCTTTAGCACCAATCAGTGTGACCCTGTTGGGCACATTATTTAAAGTCTGTGGGAGAGGGTTTAGGTAGGCTACCTTTGTGGATTTGGGGAGGGAAGTACCCCAGGTTGATCGCAGCTAACCATTGCAAGCCGTCATTGTTGCTTGCGAGACACAGTAGGATCACCGGCATGCACTTCTGAGACAAACATGCACGGATACTTGCTCTCCTGACATCATCCAAGCACATGGTCACCTATCCTCCCCGCCACCCCACCCCACCCCACCCCTATAATTTTGTAAATGTCATTAAGGCTCCTCCTGACACTCTAACCCTGGGTCACCTTGGCTGACTGCCTCTCTTGACCAGACTGCCTTTGTTTCCTTTTGCGGGAAGAAAAGCTCAACAAGGCTTCTCCCAAGTGCTTGGCCCCAGTTCCCGAGACAAGATGGCACTCTTGGCCATGCTGTTGAGTCCCTCTCACAGAAAAAACCCGCTGACTGTGGCATAATCTGGGAAGTGGGTTGTGTGTGCAGCTTGTGGGACCCAACACAGCTCGTGCTTCTCTCTTCTGCCTGCAAAGAATTCATGGCAAGGCCCAAGCCCTGGAAGATCTGGGACCACAGTGCAAGAAACAAGCCAAAAAGCAAGGAGGATGTTCACTGATTCTTCAGAGCAGTTCAGAAGCGGAGAAATGGTCCATTGAGTTGTGTCAGGATTTGAACTCGGTTGCTGCTTGTTGAATATGGGACAAAACGGCTGGTGCCTTCCAAAGGGGCTATAGTGCTTCCTTCACCATTAGCTCCCAAGAAAGCAGGCTGACGGAGGAGGAGAAGCAGGAGGCATGTGCTTTGATCAGAATTGTGGACTAGAACAATGGCGGAGTTGGGGGTGGGTGGGGAGTCTGGTTTTTACAGCCTCATATGTTTTCCAGCTCTAGTGAGAATGGTAAAGTCGCTGCTGAGTTGGGCTCAACCCCACGTGGCCGGTACCACTCTCTAGGACTGTTTCCAGCTCTATGGTAGTTTACCAGACCAGTGTTACTTCTCCAGTTGCTTGTACATTCCTGGTACCTTTTGGACTGGTGTTTCATGGCTAGGGGTGGGATCAGAGGGCTCTAGAGTAGGGAGGGGTTAATAATAACTGATTTAGGACTAATACAGTAGAACTTTGTTTTATCAAATCTTAGCATGGAGTGTCTTTAACCAACACAGAAAAACGATGAATCCAAAACTGTAGATGTAAATGAATCCAATAGAGTATTTTGCAACTCCCTTCCCCCAAAGAAGATATTTTGCACCTCTCAAGACTTAAATGTGAATTTTGTACAAGTATTTCGGGTTTGGTGAGGACAGATCCTCAGAACCCGGGTTTTGCTAGGTTCAAGGCCATTTGCCTCCATTTGACAAGTGTCTGGATGTGGGAAAATCTGTCACTTTTTGAATTTGTGCAATTTTCATTCTTTTTTTTTTGGAGGGGGGGGTCAAAGTTGTCATTACAGTTGCAGCTGTAATGCACATCTTCTGCCACTTTATGACCTATGTGTGTTTTAAAAACACGAATAGGGAAACAAGTGGTCCTAAGCACAGCTGCAAGAATGGCATTGCTAGCTTGATAAAAAGTGAAAATTTGGGTTCTGTTCACGTACCTTGGATTCCATTGTTTTGGAAGAGTTTAAAAGGTTAGGCTGCAAACCGTAACCCCACTTATCAGGGAGTAATCCCCAGTGGATCCAAATAGGAGTTTCTGAGTAGGTCTGCACCAATTAGCTAAAGCCATTCTGATTGGCTCAGTTCTCTCTCCTGTCCTTTAACTGGTCTACAAAAGTGGGGAAATGCTGTGACAGAGCATTGACAGACATATTTGCATTTTAGTGTGAACTGTCAGATATGGCAAAAAAGTGGTGCTCATCAGGCTAGGCTTTGCAGGGTTCTTGGGGAGGGAAAAGCATTTTTAGCTATGGAGAGGGAGAAGACCAACAGTAGGAACTGTGTGTATGTACAGGAACGATGATTCTTTTTAAGATACTGGGTGTGGGTCATTCTTCACGGCCCTCCTTAACATATTCACACAAGGCTTTGCTGCTGCAAGGCTGTTAGCCCATAGGTATTGCCAAAGGAGTTTTACATTCAGTTGGGATAGTACTTGAAGGGTTTGATAAAGTAATAGAAACATTCCAGGTCCAAACAACTTGTGGCTACCAAGCTGAACCTAGTTCATTAGTGACATGGTGAAAGAACCTGAAGGGGGAGGGGAGGAGGAGAAACCCAAGGCCCTACTTGGGTCCATTGATTTCAGTGCGACTAAAACATGACTTAAGTTAGGATCCAAGCTGGTTTTGCAATCACAGGCACCAAAAACAGTTTAGTGATTTGCTGGTAGGTTGCAATTTAGGCTTGGTGAGTCGTACGTTACGCAGGCCTGTTTTAAACTTAATAGAGTTGGGTGATACAGAGTGGGTATTCTTGCCAGCCACCTAGAAGAGTCTAGCTAGGTAATGGACCATTGATGCAGGGATTCAGTATCAATTCCTGATAGCACCAAGGCTTCATTTGCGCATACTCCTCCCTTCCAAGTTACTAACAAATAACTAGGCTATTTCTAAAGGCTGATTTGGGCACTTCACTGGTAAGGGTACTTAGTACAGTCACCAAGATAAACCACCCTAGCAAATACATCCCACAAAAGGCATGAGTAGATCTAGGGTTTGACCAGTGAGCCTCAACTGAAATGCTTGTGATGAATCCATTGTCTCTCCAATGTGGAACTTGGCATGAGACCATATGTTGTGTTCAAAATAAGATTCCTACATCAAGTAAACCCAAATTTTGCAACAACCTGAATTCTCAGGCGCCGTGACCTGTATGAGCTATACAAATTGGCCTACGGTATATTTTGTTAATCGTGGGAAAGGCATACAAAGCATTTCCTCCTCAGCACAGGAATTCTTCTCAGGCTCCCTGGCTTCTGAGATCTCACCTGGTTCGTATATCATGCTCATTTATTTTCAGATCTATCTCGACATGTATAAGGGCTAGAAGCTTGCTTTTAAAACTCAAAACTAACAAAAAGCTGAGATTTTCAGGCTGCTGGATTTTGTGTCCAGTGCTGTTTCATATACACGTGTGTGTGGTGCTTATTACAGAGTATGCAGAGGCCTTGCTCGGTTCCCTTGGGTTGGAGAAAGGGCCTGACTCAGAGCAATTCTCCAACATAAAATTCTTAAAAAATAGAAAAGTGCAAGTAGAGACTGGGATGGTGGTGGTCTTTATTCAGAGATATCAAAACAAATGCATGAATACCCTCATTCCACTTTGGGGCTCAAGGGGGCTTCCCATGGGCATAAGTTTGGTGCAAATCAAAACAACTATTCAGCAGACTATGGAAATACTGGGTTGGTTGCCTTGCTGAGGTCAGAGGATTTACAAGGCATCAGCTCCTGTTTTGGCGGTTGCTGCAGCAGCTGGAATGAGGAAGAACACTGGAATGGCAATGTTGGCTCCCGCTCAGCATTCTCACAAATGGTTAAAAGAGATGTCCGAAGGAAGGTGACAAGCAGGTGTGATGGGGATGTCCACCTGCTCTTTTCAATCCCCAGGATCAGGTAGTCGGCAGCCCTGAATTCAGAGTCTGTGCTTTTGGCTCTTTTTTGGCTATTAGCCACATATGTATCCTTCCTGAACCATTCAGATCCTGTAAAATATGTCAATGGCCAACTCGGCATCTTGTAGCTAGGGAGTTCCCAAAAAGAACCTCTTCCTTTGGTTTTGCTTATCTATCAACTCCAGTGGAGGGTTTTGTTTGTTTTTTAGTTGGAAGTGAACCACCCACCCCTCTGCTCTTTCCACAGCACTTGTGTGATTTCATAACCCTTTCCCTGATCTGTTAGCGAATTGACCAAAGAGCTCCAGACAGCATGGGAAAGTGAAGTAAGCCACACCTTCGAAGAACGGGATGTTGGGGCTGTTGCCTCCGAATTCCTGTCACTTAAGAGCCACCAGAACCTCCCGAGACTTGCAATTCTAGCCACATAGAACATGAGGCTTCAGCCAACAGAATGCAGGCAACAATCTCCGGGGACTTTTCTGAGCCGGAACTCCGGAGGGGGAGGCAACAAAAATCCTGTCTTTTGCTGTTGGCAAGTCATGTCCTGTCCTGTCCCACAACTTCAGCAAAAGGTATTGGCCCCACGGTTCAGAGCAGCAGCCTCAGAGAGCCGTCGATTGCTTGATGCTATGGAAGCTGACGCGCGTTGGGGAGGTGGGGATGGACATGGCCCTGGCGACTCTGGCTCGGATGGAGTGCTTGTCCTGCCACCGGTGCCATCTCTTCCGGACTGCAGAACGAACCTGGGGAGACAAGCCACAAATACCCATAAATGTACTGTAAATAAAGGGGTCGTCTGCCAATTAAAAAGGGGTGACAGATTTAATGGAGAGAGAACAAGGCTTGTGAAGGGATGGGGGACGGACCACCAGCAGCCTTTCAGGTGCTGCTGGACTACAACTCCCATCGTCCCTGTCCATTTGGCTGTGGCTGATGGGAGTTGGAGTCCCAAGTACATCTACAGGAAAGCTTCAGCAGGTGGAAGAACTTTGGGGTTTTGTTCCCGGCGGTAGAAGGGGCTGTACATACTGAAAATATCCTTTCCCAAAGTTATTCATAGCATAGGGGTGCCTCTGTGAATCTGTAGGACTAGCAGCCTTCTTGTACTTTATATTAGTAGGCTACTGGTGAGTTAATCAGGACTAGTGGCCACCTCTGATTCCATAGGGTTGCCAAGGATGAATATGTAAAAAAAAAATCCTTTAAAAATGTGAGTGTCACCATGCAGTGTAAAATCTTAACTTTCCTGGAGCTATTCCACCTGATCCTACATGCAGCAAGAGAGGGGGCAACATAAAATTCTTCAATTTGAAATGGATTGGTCATAGAAAAATTGCTCAAAGGGAGAGACGTTGTAGCACGGTCATTTTCCTGAGCTTTCCCCTGCAGGGATGTTTTGACAAAGAGGCAGTTTGTACTGCTTCATATTCAGAAGCACCAGTTCTGCTGTCATCCTGTTCTCCTAAGCATGAGGTTTCACCCTCTGCTTTGGGATGATTTGTCTCTGCTCATAGTAATTGATCTCGCCCCTGTGCCAACCCCTTGATCTGGCAATTCATCTCTTTTTCAAAAGGCTGTATGATAGATTGGGCAGCATGCAAGTTGAGACCCAGCAAGCCTCCCCCATCTCTGCCCACTCATTCCCCAACCCTGGCTCACCTCGCTGTTCAGGAAGCAGTAGAAGACAGAGACAAAAAAGCCCTGATTAGAGAAGAAAGAATAGCATAGTCAAGCTTTGGGAAAGAGAGAAATAACCGCAGCCTTTTGCACCATGTTTCCTGTGGGCACTTCCTATGGGGCTATTTTTCATTTTTAAAAGGCAAGTGCCAGATGCTTTGATCTGTAAACCTTGCCTTATAATCCAAGATGTTTGGGAGATGGGTGGGGGGAGAGAATAGACACAGAGTGGGGAATGAGATGCAATCTTCACATAATGAAATCTTTGCCTGCTCAACAGCACAATCTCATCACTTTGCAAAGACAATGCTGGGATCTGGACCATGCAAACAGGTTTCCTAGAGCCCTGGGAAGAGGAGGAGGAACACGATGAGGTTAGTAAATAGTCCCTGGAGCTGGGCGTGCAGTGATTCTACCAGAGCCAAAACAAAACAAATTCCCAAATCAGATTTAAGTATTGTTTTGTTTTTGTTACAAATTTTTCATATGAAAGTCAACCCTTGGGAGATAAGCCTTGCAAGTGAATTTTAAGGAAGTTTTATGCTGCCGATTTCGATATCTCAATGTGGTGCCCCCCCCTTCTAAAACCCATATATGTTCAACAGAAGCCCTAGTTTGGGATCGCCAGTGGGTAGGGATAATGTGATTTAAAACAACATTAAAATAAATACACTGAAGTTATTGCAAGCAATTTCGAGTTATAAGATTCTGTATGGATTTTGCACCCCTTAACCCCAAATGCATTTGGGCTCTAGTTTCCACAAGGTTTTCCATACCTGGAAGGACTCCAAGACAGAGTTGAAGTAGATGAAGACTACCCGGGATATTTCATCTTCACCGGGGTTGACGAAGAAAAGCATGTAGGTAATGCCCAGCAAAGGAAGGAGCACAAGGGTAGCCTTCACAGCTTTTCTGAAGGAAGAGCACAAGTCTTAAAATCCAAGCGAGTTCCAGACTGGCACCCCAGTGTCCCCTTGCCAATGGTTAGGGTTGGATCTACACATGTAGCAGAATGAAGTGGGAATGAGGTGGTAGAGTCCAAAGGGTGGACTGAGGCTAGGATCCCATTCCTGAATTCACACACACACACACACACACACACACACACACACCAAAGCCACTTCCTGCAAATGGGGATCTATAGCAGCAAATAGAAGGATAGCTAGAACTTCTCCTAGTGTGCTTAGACTTCCACTTGCAGGGAACCTTCCACAAATAACAACACTTGAAAATGATATATCCCAGGCAGCAGTCTAACAGCTGCATTCTGGATTAGTTGTAGTTTCCGAGTCACCTTCAATGGCAGCCCCACGAAGAGTGCATTGCAGTAGTCCAGGCGGGAGAGGGTTGGTCCCGGTTCAGGGCAAATTCTAGAATTGACCTCTGGCTCAGAGTAAGCCCTGAGCCTTACTTCCTGCGTCTGGGTTACCAGACTCCTGCCTTTTAAAAGTTAAAAGGGCTGATGAGCAGGGCTTTCTGTAGCTAGGGAGGGCAAGTGGGCCTTCTCTTCAGGACTCTTAACAGTTAACAGAATCAATTAATTCTGCAAAGCAATAATAGAAACCTGCTCAATTTGCACAATATATTTGAGTTGAGGAGTCAGAACAGTGGTTTAGCATAGCCCCTATCATAAACTCTGGCCACCCATTCCCCACCTGTGCTCTTGCACTGATACCTGTACTGTATTGTCTCTGAGGTGGTCGAGGCCCGAAGCTTCGTCATCAGGATTCTGACAATGTTGAATAAAAAGATGAAGTTGATCTGGAATAGACACAGAAACGAGATTAAGTGGTGGAGTAAGTGTATAAAGAAATGCCTCCATCACCAATGCAAAATTTTGTCACATCCCCCATCAGGGTGGCACCCGGGGCAGGCCACAACCCCCGCAGTATGCCCCTGCACACCTGTTCTCTAGGGCAAGTTTTCAAAATCAGTCCGCGCTTGAGAACCACCTGAATGGATCTCAACAGAAGTAACATTTCCAGTCCGGTTTACTCTCTCTTCCACTAGGGGGAGCTACTCTCTCAGGTATTGCAAAAACAAATGGCCATTATTTCATCTGATAGAACAATATTAATCTGAAATCTAATCTTGCTTTAAAAGTCTTCAGAGCTTAGTTGGACTTCGGAGTCAATGCTTTTTAGGAGTGGAAATAAGGAGTTGGGGGTGGGGGATAGTGACAACCACATTCTGGATGTGATGCAAAATAAATCCTCTCAGATAATTGATCTGTCTCCCCAAAATATGCCAGCTCCTTTATGAAAAGCAAGGTGGGTGTGTACAGTAAATTTATTTACTGATCAGGCCACAGAAATTTGTATATGGCCGTTTGAAATCTGTTTCATTGGCTGCAGAAGCTCCATCTCTCCTTACAGTTTTGACTGTCCACTGTTTGCAAAGATTAGATATGTAGAGGATTTCCTCCCATTTCAAGCTGGGTTGTTTTATTGGCCTGCCAGCAAATGCTGAATTACTTCTTGCTGCAGAGCAGTTTGTTAAAGCAAATGTGATTGATGGTTTTGCTGATAAATTAGGTCAATGACATTTCATTCCACTTGCAGCGTTTTGTATTTGTCGAACCCTCTTGTTTTGGCCCACAGCAATAAGTAAAGACAGATCTAACATTTTAAGAGTTGCAGGGGTGGGCTTGACAGCCCATATATATATATATTCCTGATGGGGGATGTGACAAATAAAAATGGTTTTGCAGATCCCCAGAGAGAGCTGGGAAGAAGCTGGGTATGGGGGATGCCCAATGACTATTGCCTCAACACCACCAACTCATAAGTTACCACCCCACTCCCAAGAACTCCCTGCAGCACCTTTTAAACCAGTTTTCAAAACGCTGGAAAAAATTAGGGGGGAAGCGTGTCACAAGAAAGATGCATCTCTTGCTTTGGTTTTTTTTTTTTAAGGACCTCCTTCCATGGGAAGAGAGGAACATTTGAGAACTGGATTCCTTTACCTGGGAAGCAGCCCTCATTTCCATCATTTCACTCACCTTGCACTTCTCAAGTCAGGTTCACACTATGGGTTTAAAAGCCTACAGAATCCCAAACCCACTTATCTGGGACTTAAGTCCCACTGAATTCAGCAGGACTTACTTCTGAGTAGACATGGTTAGGGTTATGCTGTCACACCCTGCTGGGAAAGTTCTCAAAATGTTCTGTATGTCTTCATAACAAGATTATATGTACACACACACACAAAAGCACACACACACTTTTACGTTTGTGTTTCGGGAGTGAGATCAGCATGTGAAATGGATCGCACCTATATATGAAATTGAGCTTTCTGAGTTCTATAGTAATGCCACAAAACCCCTCAGAAGTGTTTTTATGCATTTGGCTTGCTTTTTATTATAGCACTGTAGTATTACTCCAGCCTTGTCAATAAGCCAAAGTTACGATGGACGCTCAGGTTGCGAACGTGATCCGTGCGGGATGCATGCTCGCAATCCGCAGCATTCACAACCTGTGTCTGTGCACACACGGGTTATGATTCGGCACTTCTGCGCATGTGCAAAGCATGATTTAGCGCTTCTGCACATGCGCGACCGCCAAAACCCGGAAGTAACCTGTTCCGGTACTTCTGAGTTTCGGCGGTCCGTAACCTGAAAAAACGCAACCTGAAGCATCTGTAACCCAAGGTATGACTGTACTAGTCTGCTAAGAGGCCCGTAAAACGCCCCTCCTGTGCAACCAAGATGGAAACGCAAGCTGCTAGCCTCTTTGTGGGCTTGTTCAAAAGTTGCTGTCTATCAAGCAGACGAGCAGAGGGAGAGGTGGAAGGATCTGTCCTTCCTGCACCAGCCCCCTCACGTACGTGGAGTTCCTCATTGCCTGCAGCGAGCAGGTGAGTGCTTTAAAAAAGATGAAGAAAAGGCAAAAAATAATAATAATGGCCTCTTCTAACATAACAAAGGAATGCTGGGAGGTGATTCAGGGTTTCTGAAGAAGTAATGAAGACCCTACTTTACTTTGTCTCTGACAAAGAGAGAATGAGATCGAGATGGAAGAATTGTCCAGGAAAAGCATAAGAATGGGATTGAGCCCAGCTCAGACCGAAAGTTCTCCCAGAGAGAGGCTGCTTTGATTTAACGTTTGTCCAGATAACACGCGAGGAACCCTCATGCCTTCTTTCGCTCTCTGGCCTCCTCCAGAAGCACTAATCCTGGGGGAAATTAGGCATGAGGATTCAGGAAGCATTACAAAGTGGCTGCCCAAAGGGCAGAGGCGGCAGCAGTCTCCTCAGGCGGCGTGGCAGGCCCTCTAACTAGACAAATCGCCTCCGACTCCCCCCCCCCCAGGCCTCTGCATCAGCCTAGGCTGCCTGATAGCGGCTGCTATTATCCTCATCAAATAACATCATTAACAAATTTGCTGGAGGCAGGGGAGGTGTGCGAATTGTGCTGTGTTCAGTTGGTAGCAGTGCCGGTGGTAGTGTTGAGCTCGCGCAAGATAGAAATTGTGCCAAGATGGCAAAAGCAATAAGGAAAGGAAGAGTGGGAGGGATAGATGGAACGAAGAGCCCAATTAGATGTGATGCAGGAAACCTTTGGATTATTATTTTTTAAATTTAAAAACCATGTCTGAATTTGATGTGGATCAGGTGGTCAAATACAAAACAAGGATGGGGGCCTCCAGCATCTTTAATGGTTGTTTATTTCAGCAGGTAGAGCTTGTCACATAGGCTCTATCGGCTGAAAATTCCCTTTGCTATGTAACTTATTAAAGGTGCAAGTCCCCTCCTTTGCATCAGGCCACCCTAGGTGTGGAGTGCTAATTGTTTAATCACACACTGAAATGCAGAACGCCTGTATGCATGTTGTTAAGGGTGTAACATCGGAAAATTCCACTGGCATATACTCAGCTAGAAGGAAGCTCTCTCTCAGCCTCTAGCTGGGTTGATAATTAACTGTTGTTGTTCTCTGCTAGCACTCACGTGAGTGTTTAACTTTAGATCACATGATTAGGGTATTCAATTGCAAATCTGCCATTTTGAAGGTGGTTGCCTTTTGTTCCCAGGCATAGTGAGAGAAGGATGTAATAAGAAGCCTCTCCAAGCTGGATGCAGTGTAATGCAGGCTATGGGAAAGACAGAGCACTGATCTCAGCTCTGGTTATAATTATATATTTAAGAATATATTCTTGTATATGTACATGCTTTATACAACGTTTTGATTTTTTTGTTCTGTTTTTGAAGAAGTTTGGTTAGTAAAGCTTTGAATAATAATTACCAGTCTGGACAATTTTTATTCCAAAGGGAGTCAGCCTTTATGGAAATTGTCCCCTTTAAACTTTTTTACCTGCAGGGGAAGATATACTTGGAGCCAATATCCCCCCCCCCAACCATAAGTGAAAAAAGCAGTGATCAAATTCAGAGTCCCTTCCAGGAGTGCTGACTCTAGGGAGCAGACTGTCGTCATGCCCCTCAATATTCCTTAGCAGGGGTCTCAGCCCTGCAAATGAGGAGGGGGTAGAGGAGGCCAAACAGCTGAGCCAGCACAGCATCAAAGGCAAGCTCCTCCTGAGTGTGAGAGAGGAGGAACCGTGGGCATTGAAGCTGCGTGGCACTGGGCAAGACCTCCTCGCAACTATGCGCATGTGATGTCACAGGCATGCCATGCTGCTGGGCCCCCCTAATCTTCAGCCCAAGAGGACGCCTCTGGTTCCTTCCCATATAAGATGTGTGAAGATGAAACTATCAGGCCTGGTTTAACTTCATGCACGGCTTGCATCACATCTAGTTTGGCTGAAAATAAATTTAAAAAGTGACCCTCCTAGGCATTCTGCAAAAAAGAGCAAAACTGCAAGGGGGTTATTTCCAGAAGGACCAGATGCAAGAGAATGACAGAGCTATTGTATTTGGGTAGAACAGGAAATTTTAGTGCAGAATTTCCCACCGACAGATCGGCCCGGGCCCTATGATCAGCTTTTGCTGCCCATGCTCCCATTTCTGCACAATTATGAAAAGGTACTGGAGTCTTGGCCTCTTTTGTTCTTACATCACCTTAGCCACAAAAACAGCCTCCAACCCCTGCACTGCACCCCGAAAAAGTATTGAGAGTGGGAAGGAAGGGACTTCCGCTCTTACCAACAGCACCAGTATCATGGGACCTTGGTAGATGTAGTCAGTATAAATCCCTGCTCGTTTTCCAAACCAGCACCTGTAATTCAGAATGCAGAGCACAAAGAAACCACAGTGAGGATTTACCGTATTTTTCGCTCTATAAGACGCACCAGATCATAAGACGCACCTAGTTTTTGGAGGAGGAAAACAAGAAAAAAAATATTCTGAATCTCAGAAACCAGAACAGCAAGAGGGATCTTACTGTTCTTGCTTCTGGGATAGCTGCACAGCCTGCATTCGCTCCATAAGACGCACACACATCCCCCCTTACTTTTTAGGAGGGAAAAAGTGAGTCTTATAGAGCAAAAAATATAGTAACTTCATCCACGGTTGAAGCTGAACCAGAGTCCAGGCTTTAAATCTATTTCTGACGCAGGATATAATAAAGAAAGAGCATCTCTGGGCATGGGCAGAGTGCTTTTCCTTGGCCAAAACCTCCTCCTAACACATGTAGGATAAGGAAGAAGAGCTTCAAGACTGGAAGATCATGACCTAAACTGGATAAAATGAAAAACGTACGGCACATTTCACACATATCTATTTGATGAAAACAAACAGCCGGCATATTTAGGGATAGGTAAATGTCAGGAAGGGGTGGTTTTTAACCCTTCCTCCCAAGCCATGGTCTAAATGAAGATAATCACCTACACCCCAATACTGCTGTTTGCTCCCAGAAGGAAACAGCTGCTACCACCAATGTCAGGCTTCCCTGTCAAAACAAATAGCAGCTTTGGGGAAGAAAATGAAACCAGTGCAGTTGGGAAGGAGGAGGTGGGAGAGAAAATGAAACCACCCCCTACCCATGCATGGTACCACTACCCTGTTCAGGCCCACTGCCTCATTCCTGCTATTTATTTTCTTTCTTTCTAAAAGCAAGACACATGAAACCATGCATTTATTGCATTGCCCAGCTTGAACCTCATAATCTGTGTTACTATCACCACCCCTCAAGACTGTAGTTGCTAGGAAAGGTAGGGAAAGGTGTCAGGGGAAAGAACAATTTTTTTTAAACCCACCAAGAAGACCTTTCTAAGTGGCTTGGAACCCCAAACAAGAGGGTGGGTGACTGGTTTCAGTCATAGCCACAGCGAGAACTTACTTGAAGCCATGGCTGATAATTAAGGCAAATGGCGGCCAGCCCAAATCAATCCCGCACGCCTACGTGATTAATGGCCATGGAAGCAACTTGCCAGGGGGCTGCTATGTCCTCGATTAGCAAGTCACTGGGAAAGCAAGATCAAGGGCCCAGAGGGAAAAGCATAAGACCCTCTCATTAAATCCCAGGCTACTTTAACTGGGGGGGACCTCCCACGATGGTGTTTCATTAGCAATGCCCAGTGCTGTGTTTACACTTTAAAAAAATAAATCACCAAGTAGTTTAATTCTGCTACCTCCATAAACTGTGCAAATTTGTCTGGATTTGCTGAATCTTCCTATTTTAGCCTACTTTTTCTAGCTACCGAACAGAGAATCGAGGAGCGCGCTGAATGTTCCTTCCTTCACCTCTGCTCAACCCACTATGAAGGGCCAAAGGTCACAGAGATGTTAGGAAATTTGCGATGGGACCTCTAGCTTGTTCAAGAATTCTGTTTCTTATAAAAGTAGCTGCAGGGGGTGGGTGGGGAGAGCAAGCTGGGTTTGAAATGCAGCACTTGGGAAAAGAGTGGGTTAATCCCCTTCCATTCCCTCACTGCTTTCCTGATTCTAAGTTGCTTGCAACACTCCCACAAGGGGCCGCCCACTTGCCAATCACCTGACATCATAATCATGTCAGGTGAGTTGCTTTTGCCCTGGGTGGATGATGATGATGATGATAATAATAATAGTAGTAGTAGTAATAATAATAATAATAATAATAATAAAATTATTATTACCGAGGGCCTTCTCGGTAGTGGCGCCCTCCCTGTGGAACGCCTTCCCACCAGTTGTCAAAGAGAACAACAACTACCAGACTTTTAGAAGACATCTGAAGGCAGCCCTGTTTAGGGAAGCTTTTAATGTTTGATGTATCACAGTATTTTAATATTCTTTTGGAAGCCGCCCAGAGTGGCTCGGGAAACCCAGCCAGATGGGTGGGGTATAAATAAATAATAACAATAATAACAATAACAATTATTATTATTATTATTATTATTATTATTATTATTATTATTATTATTATTTTATTTATACCCCACCCTTCCCAGTTCAGAAAATCGGGCTCAGGGCGGCTAACAACAAATTTAAAACACTTAATTGATGCAACAAAGAACAGCACAATATACAGTATAAAACGTGAATAACAATAAATTCAGAATTCAAAAATCAATTTAGGGGGGAAATCCATCCAATAAACATTAGATGATCACCAGGGCTAGCTGACTAAATTAGTCCTATTTGGGCCAGCGAAGAGACCAGGGGAGAATTAGCTGTGGGATCCCAGAGCGGGTAATCTTCATAAAAAGGGGAGGGGGAGGGAAGGAGGGGGAATAAAAGATCAGACTAAGTTCAAATTGAAAGCCAGGCAGAATAGCTCTGTCTTACAGGCCCTGCGGAAGGAAATTAAATCCTGCAGGGCCCTGGTCTTATGGGACAGAACATTCCACCAGGTCGGAACCATCACTGAGAAGGCCCTGGCCCTGGTGGCGGATAATCTAACTTCCTTAGGGCCTGGGACCTCTAAACTATGATTATTCATGGACCTTAAAGTCATCTGCGGGGCATACCAGGAGAGGCAGCCCCGTAACTACGAGGGCCCTAAGCCACAAAGGGCTTTAAAGGTCAGAACCAGCACCTTAAACCTGACCCGATACTCCACCGGGAGCCAGTGCAACAGATACATGGCCCTCGAAGCCCTGACAACCAGCTGACTGTTGGCGCTAGGAGAGAGCCAAGCAGGGCACTCACTCTACACAGATCCTTGCACGTGCCACTGATCCTACAGGCTTCTTTTCGGCCCAGCTGTTGCTTTACCTGCCTCACATCTGACATCTGACATCAGGTGGAAGGCAGGTGGGCTTGGCAGAACAGCCTCATCGGCCTAATGGGAAGTGCCTAATCTGTCCCACCGGTCAGAGGTTTCCATTCCCTGAACTAATCCTATCCATTGGAACTAGGATATCCCTGAAATTTAAGCACCTACATCCAAGGTTCTCAAAGTGGATGGTACTACCCCCCAGGGGACGGCAGGATTACTTAGCAGGGTGCCAAAAGGTGGCAGGGGGTGCTGGAGACGTAAATGACTATCAGACTTTGAAAAGCTGGTATCACTGGATCAAGCATTCATCAGTTTTGCTGATTAATTAAACTAAGTAATTGGGCATTGAATGCACGTGCAACTAATTGCCACTGTTTCAAATTTCATTGAATTATCATCTCCCTTGGTGGGTGGTGCATTTCAATATTCTGAGTAGTGCTTTTTATAGGTTAGGGGGCCCTGGGGGTGAGTTTATGGAACGAAAGGAGCAGTGGCCTCCAAAAAGTTTGGGAGCCACTGATCCACATTCTTGGTGCAGGTAAACAGCTTTTTGTTTGGTTCATGGGCGGTTGGGGTGGTATTTGGCAGAGTGGGGGAAGAACACTGCTTGCCTGCAAGCAAGGCCACTCCTGATTTCTTGCTCGTCTGCTGAAATCGCCCCCAAGTCTGCTCCTGATTGCCTTTGTGCAAAGCGGAGAAATGCCAGCAGAGCTTCCCTCCTTCCACCCCCAGATCCCTCCGTAGCACCCACTCCAAGGCTGTGCAAGCCTGCTCTAGAAGCCATTACCATAGCAGCAGAAAAGCAGGATGGGGGAGAGAGAGAGAGAGACTAGGGCTGACTTACTTCTCGTTGTCATAGTAGAGTTTCCCAATGGCCCAAGCGATGATGATGGGGAAAGGGATGCCTGTGGATGAAAGCAAAGACAGGTCTCAGGGCATCCGGTGAGGAATGACCTAGCATTAAGGCAAGGGGTTGTGATAGTTGGGGGAGCAAATGGGATATGTGGCCTCAGCTCAGGTACCCACCCATACCGAGCGAAACTATCACAGTGCTATTTCCTAAGCTCAGACGCAGAGCCTGTTTTTTCTTGCGTGAGGGCTCAGTGCTCCTACAATGAGTGAGAATGAGAGTGCTTCTGAGCATCTGCACAGCGAATAGGTTAATTTGTGCCCCTGGAATCATCGCAGCTCAGCCTCAGGCCCTGTTGCCCATACTAGAACGCCTGATGGTGCCTCTGAGCATATAACAAAGGCACACTGGGTCCCTATGGCTGAACTCCAGAATGTGCTTTCAGATTCTGAAAAGGTATACATGATAAACAAAAAAGTACTCCTGAACATCAGCGGAGTTCTGAGTCTAATCCAAACCCCTTGAATTTTTTGGCCAACATGGGACTCGAACCCACAACTTTGAGGTGGAGAGTCTCGTACTCTACCATCCCTTTGTCGCCCTGGCTACCCTGCAGGATATGCTGCAGCCACCCCTCTCCTTGCCACTCACACCAGCCGATGCAGATGAACATCCATTTCCTCAGCTTGTCTGTTGAATAGGTGAGGACGATGGCCGTGTGAAGGTAGCAGCCCTCGCCAAACATCCAGAAGAAATTGGTGACGTGGAAGTAGTTGTAGGCAGCTGTGACGAGGCGGCACCAGGGCTTTGTGTGGTGAGAGAACAGGCAGAATGGATGAATTAAGAGGAAACAGCCCCGCAAATCCTAGCCACAAGGAAGCCTACCCTACCTCTATGAGGACACGGCTACTCTGAACAGTTTAGCATCGTCCCCTTTCGCCTGCTAACGGCTGAACATTCATAAACAGTGATGATGAGGCTCCATCCTTCGGCTTTAAAATTCCCAACCCTTCAGATCGAAGCAAAGCCAACTGCAAGGCAGCTCAACTCATCTGCAAATAAACTACAGCATCACTCTCAAGATGCTAGAGCTCATGGAAATTCAGCTTCCTTTTCACACTAAAGGAGACCCCGGCTGAACCTTAGCTGCCGGGTTGCTCAGATCAACAGACCTGTAAGCGTCAGCCTTCAGCAACATGGCACCCTCTAGAAATTAGGGGCGGCAATTCCACCCAGCCTCAGCCAGGCTGCCTTGGCTTCTGCCAGCAAATCCAACAAGGAGATACGTGGATTAGAATTTCATTTTTGGTCTTACTGTAGGACCAGTCATGGTGAAATACCTGCAGTTTAACTTGCAAATATCTGACAGGTTTATGGGCCTGGTCGGCTGGCTCTTTTAAACTCTTGAAGACATGCCAATGTTTTCAAGGTGCTAAAGCAAAGTGATCACGATCATGTTGGTCTATATACTAATTGGTAGCATTTCTTCCTAGGCCTACCTGGAGAAGCCAGGAAGTGATCCTGAAGCCTTCTGCATGTTGCAAAATGCTCTACCACTCAGCTCCAGCCCCCGCCAGAGGCCTCATCACCTAGGGATGCCATACGTCTGGATTTTTCCATACATTTCAAAGGATTTCAAAGGAGGAATTGACATAGGGGTGGGGGGATTTCCAAAAGGCAGCATTTTGTTCTGGATCTTAGGTAAGTCAATCAAGAAATTGTGTTTTTTTGGTATTTTTTTTTTTGGGGGGGGGAGAAGCTCAACAACTTTTGGGGTGTCCTGGCTTTTATTTTTTGAATTATGGCAACCCTATCATCACCAGCTCAGAATACCTTAGGGCTATACACTATAGATCAGGGTTTCCCAAACCTGGGTCTCCAGCTGTTTTTGGACTACAACTCCCATCATCCCTAGCTAGCACGACCAGTGGTCAGGGATGCTGGAAATTGTAGTCCACAGACAGCTGGAGACCCTGATAGAGATGTACTTTTCAAGGCTTGACTTTCATATAACAGGTCAAGAAGCAGTGACCTCAAAGGTCATGGGGAAAGTTTATTGATTTCCCCTTGCTTTTTTTGTTTTGTTTTTCAAAGTCCAGCAGGCATCCAAGCCAAATTGCTAGCACCAGATTTGAAGCCAGGTTGAGGAGAACCTACCACATTGCTTTCATGGACTTCTGGATTCATGGTGAGCTGGACCACAAACCACGTGGCGTTCCGCAAAATGAAGGCAGTGATCAAGTTCCAGTGGATAATGTTTCGTAGGCACCGGATGCTCCTGGAGGAGAAAAGGAAAGAGCGTGCAAAATGGCAGCACAGGAACAGCCCAAAGGATGAACTGCCCCACTCTCAAGGCAGATCCCCTCCCCTCGCATGTTACTGCCTTGCCCCTACCTCTCTTTAATTTTTAGATCAGCCTTCCCCAGCCTAGCACACCCTCCAAATGCTTTTGGGACTTCAACTCCCATCAGCCCCAGCTAGCATGGCTGTGCTGGCAGGAGCTGTAGTGTGTAAACATCTGGCCAGCGGCAGGCAGGCGAGGGCTGCTTCAAATGATCTCGTGGGCCTTTTGGGCTGACTCACCTCAGGCGCATGAAGAGGACGAAAGCAGCTATCAGTGCTGCCAGGGAAATGCAGTGCCCAAGGTAGTTGATGATGACAGCAACATGGTAGTGCAACTTGCTTCTCTTCTGTAGGGGGAAAGGCAGGAAAAGGTTCAGCATTGGGCCACAATAGTATAGTAACTATCATTTGTAGTCCAATTCCTTCAGACCTTTTCAACCATGCTCCAAAGAGAATGCCACAATAGTCATACTTTGTTTCACTAGCCAGTGGTGGAAGCAGCCTCCATTAAACAACCAGAATCTGCTTAGCCATTACCCTGAATCCAATGCTTTCCTTTTCCTCAAACCAGAGATGGAGGGATCTGGCACCCTCTAGGCATTGCTGGACTACAACTCCCATCAGTCCTAAGCATGGGCAATGCTGGTTGCAATAGGTGGGAAATGGACTTTTAGCAACATCATGAGAGCCACAGGTCCCTTTAGCTCCTTTATCGTCATGTTGACCTTTAGATCATCTGTGAAATGATCTCTTCCTCCTCCTCCTCCTCCTATTCTGGGTTTAGCTAATGATCTTTTATAAGGAGCAGCATAAGTGGTAGTCAGTTCAAGAAGTTGCTTTATACTGAGCCCAACCATTGGTCCACATAGCTCAGCAATGTCTATACTGGCTGACAGCAGCTCTCTATAGTTTTGGAGGCAGACATCTTCCCAGCCTTCTTAGAGACACCAAGAACTGAAATCTGGAACCTTCTGCATGAAAAACATGTGCTCTACCGCTGAACTACTACCGTTCTTCCTATTCTTTACATGTGTGGGAATAAGATGCTTCCTTTTGCCACTCCTGAACCATCTTCCCATATGTTTTACTAAGTAATGGCAAGCTCCACAGATACTGAGCATCAGAGGGTCTGAGAAGAACTGTGCACAATGATTGATGGAAGAGGACAATGCCATACCCTCCAACAATGAAAAGAGGGACGTCACATTCCATAATGATTATTTTATTATTTATACCCCACACATCTTACTGGGTTGCCCCAGCCATTCTGGGCAGCTTGCAACATACATAAAAACATAATAAAGCATTAAACTTTTTTTTTTTAAAAAAAACTCTTCCCTAAACAGGATTGCCTTCAGGTGGCTTGGGGGTTGGATAACTCCATACCCTCCAACATTTCTTCAATGAAAATAGAGACATCCTAAGGAAAAGTGGATGCGGGTGGCGCTGTGGGTTAAACCACAGAGCCTAGGGCTTGCCGATCAGAAGGTCGGCGGCTCGAATCCCTGCGACGGGGTGAACTCCCGTTGCTCGGTCCCAGTTCCTGCCAACCTAGCAGTTCGAAAGCACATCAAAGTGCAAGTAGATAAATAGGTACCCCTGCAGCAGGAAGGTAAACGGCGTTTCCATGCGCTGCTCTGGTTTGCCAGATGCGGCTTAGTCCTACTGGCCACATGACCCGGAAGCTGTACGCCAGCTCCCTCGGCCAATAAAGCGAGATGAGCGCTGCAACCCCAGAGTCAGTCATGACTGGACCTAATGGTCAGGGGTCCCTTTACCTTTAAGGAAAAGTGGAACATCAAATCAGAAACTGGGATGGCTTCTCTAAATCAGGGACGTCCCTGGAAAATAGGGACACTTGTAGGGTCAGCAATGTTTTTCTAAGAGTCGCATTTGGACTTGATAGGAGCGATATAGGAAAGGGAAGCAGCCCAGGAGCTGACTGGTCAGCAGGGCTGGTCTGTCAAATTCATTCATTCATTCAGCCTTTAACAGCATTATGTCTTGTCACATGAAAGTGCTTGTAGAACAGGGCAGCCTGCCAAATGGGCTGCAAGAGTGCTTTGACATGGAACCTGCAGGCCACACAGTGCCTTGTCGCACCAGGGGAAGGGGAAGCAAGGTCAAAACTGGGTGCCTTCCTCCAGCCTTTATGCCACCTTTCAAAAGCTGGCTAAGTGAGGTTACCATGATTTGGGATGGAGGTGCAAGACTCTGTCAGGGTCCTAGACCATCTTATCTACTTCCCAAAGCTTGGAAAGTGCTAACTAGGATTTGGGAAGGAGGCAGGAGGACCCTATGACCCCGTCACAGCCTCATGCCTGTTTCCCAAAGCCCAGCACTCACTTACCAAAGCTCAGCACTACTGGGCAGGGGTGTCAAATGTTGCTGAGGGCCACCAAAACAGGCCTCAAGGGCCACACGTGGCCCCTGGGCTGTGCCTTGGACCATCCTGTTGTAGAAGGAGGGATCCTCAGAGATGTGGAGCAGAGTACCATGTGGAGAAAAACAACTTGCAGCCTTCTGATGTCTAAGATGCTATTGTCCTCTCACAAAGGAGGGGGGGCACAGCTATTTCTCTCTCCACCCGCCCCCCCCCACATTAATTGCTAATTCACAGAATGGATGCAAGCTTCACAGCAAGACAGTTGGCTAATTTAATTATCCAGCCACCCTCTCCTGCGACTTCAACCCAAGCCCCCAGGGACAGTCAAATGTAATTGCCGCTGCGGATATATCATGTTTCCAGGAACCTTTTCTAAATTCTAATTAAGTGACAGCCTTCTGGGATTTTCCAGATAATGGCTACACCATGAAAACTCCTTGCACACCTCCTTCTCGTGCCCCTCCACTAAACACACATGCGCACACACAAGCTGCATAGTCAGGAAATATATGCACCAGCCACTGGCTGTTGCTACGCAGCTGCAGTGACACTCTGCCCCATGGCAGAATCCATGGGTCAGGCTTGAGAGTAGGGACCCAAAGCAGAAGGTTTAGAAGGTGACCACAAGCCCGAGATGACCCCACTATAAGGTGTGGCAAGGTGGTACATTCTGGGTACTATTAAGAGCAGCAGAGAGAGGAGACGACAGATCTGATCTGTAGAGCTTAGTTCATTGGGAAAGTCTCCTTCGCATAATCACTTGATATATCCATGGAGATTAAAAGGCATCAATAAAACCAGAATCAGTATCCCAACTTTTGGGTCATTCAGCTCTAGAGCTAAAACAAATCCAGCAGGTGCAATCTCTGCTTCAACTTTATTCTGTTTATAAGATCTCTTACTTGTTCTTCATCATGAGGTCCCAGGGCAGGTTACAACAATATAGTCATACAATTATAAAGACAAATAAAACAGTCCCAAACAAAAATGGAGCAGTCTAGAGCAGTGTTTCCCAAACTTGGGTTTCCAGCTGTTTTTGGACTACAATGCCCATCATCCTTAGCTAACAAGACCAGTGGTCAGGGATGATGGGTACTGTAGTCCGAAAGCAGCTGGAGACCCAAGTTTGGGAAACACCGGTGTGGAGATTAAACAACAACAACAACAAAAGGAGGTGGATCCCAGGAAGCAAAATACCTTAACTTTCAAAAGCCAGGGTGAATTTTATTTATTTATTCTGTTTATATACTGCCCTTCATTCTAAGAGCTCAGGACACTTCACAAGATAAAAACACAGGTAAAGATATACTCTCAGAGGATTGCATCAAATGGTAACCCTACTCGGAGTAGAGCCACTGAAATTAATGGACCCAAGTTAGCCATGCTCCTTGATTTCAATGAGTCCGAGTAGGACCAAAATTTGAGTAGGGCAATTTCTTTGAGGGAAGTTGTGAAAGTTAATCTGGCCCTTTATATAGAAAATCCCAGGGACTGTATTACTCAGGCGGTAGTGAGGCATGGTATGGCCACTTTATAATGAAATATAGCCCTACTTGAAATGTATGGCAGTTCATACCTCCTCGGTGAGGATCTCCTGACACTGGGAGTAATTCACACGGATTGCCCAGCTCCCGTTTGCAAAGCATTCTCTGTACACATTGTCTGGAAAAGAAAAATGCAGACAAAGAGATTGAGAGAGGTCCTAGGAGTGTGACACAAGCTATGTGAGAGACTCGTTGAAGTAGCAGAGGTGGCCAGCCCTCCAGGACATTTGGCCGCCTGAGGTCAACAGCAAATGGCGCCTCTGCCCAACCCCCTTAATTAGGCATTATTATAATATTCAAGGCATTTGTATACTGCTTAATCGTCAGCATGTCTAACCTTAAGTACTCAAGGTTAGCTAAGTTATTTTCGTACCTGAGGCATACAGTCCCACAGGAATCTCTCCTCGTCCCTGACTATCAAAGTACAATGATAATAAATCAAACAACTAATAATTTGCTGCCATTTCATGACACTCGGAATCAGTTGCCTGAGGCCTCAGTTGCCTCTCTCTATCCAATAAGAGGGCTAGAATAAGATATGCTGACAGAACAAGCAAAACAATCCCTGGCTTTCTTATTTTAACCAGCCTGAAGTTCGGTAAACACTTAGGAAACTCTACTGAACAATGTGGGATTTGCCTCTGAATAAACATGCGTAGCAGGTGGTGGGGAACATAGTCATAGAATCGTAGAGTTGGAAAGGACCATGAAGGTCATCTGGTCCAACTTCCTGTAATTCAGCAATCTCTTGCCCAACGTAGGGCTTGGACCCACAACCCTGAGATTAAGTGTCTTCTGCTCTACAGAGTCGCTGGACTCCATCTCTCATCAGCCCCAACCAGTGATGCCAATGGTGAAGGATGCTGGGAGATGTAGTTTAGGGCTACAGGTTCCTCATTGCTGAGGATTATCTTGTTAGTCTATAGAACAAGGGAGGGGAACCTTTGGCCTTCCAGATGTTATCAGATTACAACTTCCATCGTCCCTGGCCATTGGCCTTGCTGGCTACTTGTAGAGTTGGGGTCCAACAACATCTGGAGAGCCACAGATTCCCCACCCTGTTACAGAAGTTAAGCTTTCGAATGACACACTCTACCTGTGTCAAACTGTGGTATTTAAATGTTTCCAGGTGGGTGTTTATGGCGGGGTCAGTGCTTCACATGCATGCAGGTTTGATTCTATTTCTTTAGCTGCGGTTCCTGCATTGAAAGTGGATGGGCTAGATGACTCTACAAGTCTATGATTTTTTTAAAAAAATGGTACTGTCCACACAACAATGTTGGCCTCAAAATTCCAGCCCGTATCCCTGCGCCCTATAATCCTGATCTACCCATTCCATGGAAAACCCAATAAGGAAATAAAATTGCTGACAATGACACGTTTGTGATTATCTCACTGACCCATTTGCAAATTAAGCTCCTTCTTAATCATGCCCCACCCCCCAAACAATAAAACAAGATGTTACAAATTCAGGCTGAAGACTTATAGCTTACACACACATGTATCTCTGAGTGTCTCATAACTCGAGCCACTCAGCTGCAGTGCACTCAGTGAAAAGTATTGTTCTTGAGATAATGTGAAAGCCCAGCCTCTGATGTTTGATGAGTTTTTGCAGCCAAGTCAGTCTTTGATGCTTCTGCAGTCATTGTCTGCTGAAAGCGCCTCCCGCTCCCTTCAGAACGCAATTTGAAAAACACAGTTGATACAGAACATGTAATTTGGCCCAGTCTAGTATTCTTTAGGACAAAGGTGGTCTGAGCAGCAGCGGAATTGGATTACTCATAATCAGAGGGTGTTTTCAAATCGGGCAAAGTTCTTACACAATTGCCCTGTGACATAACCATGGATAAGATGGAGAAAATTGATTTTGCGCCTGCTGGCTTCACCCTTGACCTTGCGTTCATACTTTGGGATGAACTTGTGCTGGCTGCAAAGTGGTGGCAAGGAACTCTATTGATGGCCTTCCCCCCCGGGAAAAAAACACTTTACTACAATAGCCACATTAGAAATTACTGCATTTTACACGACCTAAGTACTCAAAGTGTCCCAAGTGAGGGCAAGGTGAGGAGGAAGGGTGAAAAAACTGCACACCTTTATATTGCGGTGCAAAAAGGACAGGAAGTTTCTTCTGCATTTGATCTGGCCACGACACTCGCATGTCCCATATACATCATACCCTCCATAGTCTCCAGCAGTCTATCTACACACCACCTTGCCATTTCTCCTACCCTCAGCTTTCAGCCCTTGTCTAAGCTCACAATCTTAGACAGGGAATCTTAGAGAGACAACCTGAGACAGATTTCTGAGGTGATTCTTGTATCTGTGCTGGGCCTGCGCTCCTGGGGTTGAGCTTTTCTCCCAGCTTTGGTGAATTCCTCAGAGCTTCTTGGCCCATTTTATTTTCCTCAGGAGTCTTGCAGATAACCTTAGCAAAGATGGGAATGGCCGTGGCAAGTCAAGGTCTTAATAAGCTTTAGCCCCTGGAGAATGAGATGGGGGGGGGGGACAGACGGACGCACACACTGCTTTTCCCTCTTGACAGGAGAAAGGAGGGAAAGGGGAAAGCTAAACCTTTGTTGAAACTGTGTGACAGGATCGTTTTTGCTCACATGACAGCTTCATTGCTGGCCGTTCATCCCCTCAGAAACTATGAGGCTATTCCCACTCATTTCAAATCAAAGCTGTCAGGTCAGATTGGAAGGGTGATAAGCCATAGCTGCTTCGGCAGAGCAAGCCAAGTGAAATGTGGATAGACTTCAAATAAGCAGGATGGTGAGGCATCCTGCCGTCTCTGCCATTTAGCTCCTACAGTGTTGGGAAAGGGCTTGGCTTGGACTCAAAGGTATTGTGTGGCAGGCAGTATTCCTGCCACTAGGCCCAAACCAACTTGAACCCCGGATCCCATACCCCACAAGTGCCCTGGAAAAATAGGGACATCCCATTTCTCCCTCCCCCTCCCCACAAGTGCATGGCGGCCATTTTGGGTGCCGTGATATCGCATGATTTTTTGTTGAGATCTCGCACCGAAAAAGCGCTCTGGGGGGGGCCTGCGATCTCACACGGGTCACGTGACTCGCGAAGGGAGCACAGACAGGAAGACGCATGCCCCGGTTTTGGGACGCAACATGTTGGAGGGTATGTGATGCTGGTGGCCAAGATGGTGGCAGTGGACAACATGGCAGCCTCAGACCCATGAGGCTTGCCAAGGCCCCTTGTCCCTCCCAGTTTTTATTCCTGCTCCCTGCCCCCCCCCAATTCATAGCAGTGCTTAACACAACAAAGTGCAAAAGAACTGAAGTGAAAAAATAGGACACCATCCAAAGAGAGCAGGAAGATGGCCTGCTTTCTTCCCCAGTATGATGTTCAGCGTTGCGACAGGACCATGGCTCTTCCTGAGAAGCTGGAAATCAAGTCTGCAAAGAGGTCAGCATAATCCAAGCACTGAGGAGGCAGTATAGAAGATCCCCGTGATTCAATTTGCACGTTACATGTTAATACTAGTGCAGTGACCTCTTTTTTATTTTTTAAGGTGGAAATTTAGAACACAGAGGTACGGAGCAGGAGGAGTGGAAGAAGGGAGCTCCTTTCTGTACTTGCTGTTTCCCTGCCCGAGACACCCCCCCACACACACACCAGGGGTATCCCCAATTCAAACATGCATTTTGAACCCTGCTGCCACGGTGAGCGGCAGGAGCAGTGGGGGGAGTAGGTGTGGAATGCGTTAAGCAGTGGTGGACCTTGGCACCTCAAATTTCAGTGGCGCCCTGTGCAGTGTGCCAAAATCCGGCGCCCCCACTTCTTGCCTTCCGTTGGACATCATAGTGCAACTGAAGTGGTTACACTCCCGTGGAGTTGCTTTGGAGTTAGGCATGACACTCCTCACCCCCATTTCTCTCTTCCTGGCCATTCCCACTCCCCACAAGGTCTGGTTCTTTCTTTTTAGAAACGGCTGCAAGGCTATGTGTTTGGCGCTAACAAAAAGGAGGACTTCGGTTGTGTACATATTCTGGTTTACTCTGGCTCCTGTGCACTCTCACTGCTAGTATTTGAAGGGGCATGCACATGATGTTAGTCACAACCCACATCTATTGTGTAGTTCCTTAAGAAATACTGCTGTTTGATGTGCTTTCCCTCAAGCTAGATTCTATCCGATTCGAAAACATCTGCTACGTTCATTTTGCAGTTATGCTGAGGTGTGTACAATTTGGGGCAACCGTTGTGCATGTGCCGATAACAGCTTTATTGAATAGGATTTGTGTAGGGCGTGTATTTGCAAGCGTGGGGAAAAAAATCACGTAATGCACGTTGGGTGAAGACATCCCTGCATTTTCTCTGTGTTTTAAGCCACTAATGTGTACGTAGCATTTATGTCAGTACTGTAAAAGGTAAAGGGGACCCCTGACCATTAGGTCCAGTCGTGACCGACTCTGGGGTTGCGGCGCTCATCTCGCTTTATTGGCCGAGGGAGCCGGCGTACAGCTTCCAGGTCATGTGGCCAGCATGACACTAAAGCGCTTCTGGCGAACCAGAGCAGCGCATGGAAACGCCGTTTACCTTCCCGCCGGAGCGGTACCTATTTATCTACTTAGATAAATATACTGTAATGTGGAACAAATGCAGGCACTTTCCTAGCCTTGAAAATTGTCCCCAGGACAAAACTCTGCAAATCTCGACTTGGTCAACCTCACAAAAAGGCTCCTCACTAAAAAAAAAAAACAACAACAACTCCAGGAGGAATAGCCAAGATGACAAAATATCATTTTTAGCACTAGTAGATAAAATCTCCCAAGACCATGGGCATCAGAGACATTAGCATCTTATCCTGGAAGGGTAACATGTCGTTGTGATTCATAACCATCACCCCATTTAACTGCAAAATTTGAGCTTCTGACACTATCATCACTGGGGTTCTTCCCTTTCTTCATCTCTGTTAAGAGACAACATTGGCCTCATCCACACACCCCTTTGTCGCATCATTTGTAGGCGCAGGTCCATGAGGTTTTTCTTTTGTCCCGCCTTCTTTCCCCGGGAAAACCCTCTGTTACTGCTGAATCAGAACAAACATCAATCTGCAGTAAACCTGATTGACATTTGTTCTGATTCAACAGTAAACCACAGATTTTCCTGGGGAAAGTGGTGGCACAAATGGAAAAACCTCTTGGATCTGTGTCTAGAAATTGCAGGAAAAATGTGAACCCACTGAGTATTTTTTGCAAACTTTTGCTTAAAGGAACTGAAGGCAACATGTCGAATCTCCAGCCCACGAATGAAAACAGGCTGATCTGTCTATCTCGAGGTGCCCGCCTGCAGCCCCACCCTCTTCCAGCTTACTTGAAGTGTTGTATCGCACTCCGAAGAAATACTCAGGACAGGGGCGGGCCACCATCTGCCCTGCTGCACTGCGAGGCCAACATGTCCCTATCAGATCCACCAAGGCATAGCACTGGGGACCTACAGGGAAGAAAGCAAAGAGGAATTAGCAAAATAATCACAATGACATCATAATTTATTTATTTTTACAAGCCCATCCAGAGGCCCAGTAGGCTAGAATTGTACTGCTAAAGAAGCGTAGCTGAGACAATTGCATGGATGCAGAACTTATCTAATGAGAAGAATTTGAAACAACCACCACCACATACCCTCTGACATTTCTCTAGTGAAAATAGGGACGTCCCATTCCATACTCTGGGCAGCTTTCAACATATATAAAAAATAATTAAACATTAAACATTAAAAACTTCCCTATACAGGGCTGCCTTCAGATGTCTTCTAAAGGTTGTACACTTACTTATCTCCTTGGCTCAGGGGTCACATACTAGGGTTGCCATATTTCAAAGACTGAAAATCCAGACAGAAAAGTTGTCAAGCTTTTTTTGGCAAAGTTGTTGAGTTTTCATTGCCCGATTTCCCCGGACATTTCAGCGATTTCCGTCTGGACGTATGCTGACCCTACTGAGCAACATTTCTCTGATGAAAATAGGGATGTTCTAAGGAAAAGCGGGATATTCCGGGATCAAATCAGAAACCGGGCTGGCTTCTGTAAACCCAGTACTGTTATGTACTGAAGTTCTCACCCTGGGCCAGCAGGGGTATACTGTAGATAGTTATGCAAATGAAGGATCGAAAGTGACGTTCAGTGATTGGATAGTTTGTATGCAAATGAAGGATCGAAAGTGACGTTCAGTGATTGGCTAGTTACAGAAAATGGTTACTGTTGCATTCTAGTGGAGCTCTATATAAGCAGGCTGACTGAACTCCTCTGTTCAGTTCTGTTCCAGCTTACAAATAAAGAGCTGCTTTGGAAGAATCGCTGTGTCGTCTGATATGTTCGCCCACAACTTAACAAGTACTGTCCCTGGAAAATACGCACGCTTGGAGGGTTTGTAATTCCTAGATGAAAGTGTCTCCTGCAGAGAAAGGTTTGAAGGATTTGAAGCAACCCTCAGCGGATGAGGTTTCATTTTGTTCTTGCTCAGGACGACTGCCATATTGGGGGTTAGGAAGAAAAGTTCCATCCATTGACTGGCAATCTTGGTTTGTTTGCCACTTGACTGGTGTGTGATTTGACTCCCTTGCTTGAATCATCTTGGGAGCAATTTGCTCTGCTGCCAGCACCATTTCTGAAGGGCAGTTGCTCTCTGCTTGCGGAACAGCACAGCCTGGCTGGCGCAACCTGGAGCAGGGAGGAGGGTAGTTTAATGTGGCCTACATGGCCTTTGGTCTCTTCCAGGATTCTATGAATTCCATTGGCTTTCCCACGCAACTTCTGTGCCTCGCATGTTTCCCCCCTTGTTTGGTTTGACATCGGAAGGGGTTGGGTGGCAGCATGCAGCTTGTCACATTTGCAGAAAGCACCCGGGTCCTACTGTTTAATAAATGTCATTTCGTGGTTCCTTCCCTCCCTCTGGAATGCTGAACCTAATTAGCCCGTGGTCTCTGTTATTAAGTGAGTCATTTCTGAATGCTTCTGGAATTAGCTCCTTCAAATTACTTAAGACCATGCTGAAAACAGCAGCCTCTCCTCTGGTGTGCCCTAGAACAGGCAGTTCTCCAAAGCAGCAAAAAATTTAAAATTAAATAAAATTATAAAATCCATCGCCAAGAACATTGCATCTCTGAACCTCATCCCACATGGAGCCATTCACCTGCTTTGAAAGTGGAGAGATTCAAAACTCTCTATAATTATCTCTATTTGGACCACCACATTTGTTTTGTTTTGCCACCATGATTTTTCTTATCCTCATAAGAAACATAATACTAGAGATAAGGAATCGGAAGAATAGTTCCCTAAAACCCTGTGCCTGATGGCAGCAAGGAGAGGGAGGTGAAGACCTCTGAGATGAAATTAATTTGGGGAAGTGTTCTAACACCTAGATTGTTTGCAAAGATACACGATATAAATCCCACTAATTCAAATTGTGTGTTTGTGTGTGATGCTGTTGAGTTTAGAAAACAGGATTTGAAGTACAGAGTTCAGCAACTTGATATTATTTCCTTAAGCTGCATCAACAAGATTGCATATTGAACATGATTTGATGCTGACTTGGGTGGGCCTGGGCCACTTAATGTTCACCCTGGACCCTACAGAGACTGAGCCATGCATAACTCAAAATGACCTGGACTCAGGAGTCCGTGTATTGGAGTAGTACTAAGGTACCAAGAACCCTAAGACCATCTCCCTGGACCAGCACAGAAAAAAAAGTGTCTGCAGAGCTTCCTTCTGCCAAGATATCCACAGATGAGAATTAACCCTCCAGGGGCCATGCTTTCTCCATCAGCCCCCCCCCTCCCCGGAATGTCTCCCTGCTAATATCCCCACATATTTATAGCATCTTTTCAGACCTCACCACACTGCTCCCAAAGGGACAGTAGTGAATATATTTGGAGCACACTCCTCAAAACCAGAATGCAACCCAGCTGTGCTGATCTCTAAAGAGGGGGGACCAAGACCACCCTGTGTGCCTTCAGAACAGTGGTAGCCACACAATATATGTGGTGTAGGATAGCCCCTGGCTCGGGGGGGGGGGACCAAAAACAGAAATATTTAGAAACTGTTGCATGCAATTTCATCACACAAAGTTGTCATACGACAATTTTGGTTTGGTTCATCGTAATTTTTCATCTCTTAGCAGAAGCTATGTAATTCCAGATATTGGTGTATACTTAAACAAATTGGGAGAGCCTTCCCTGCACCCTATGCACATGTTGGCCTCAGAAAGCTCGTGACCCATTTTGGAGCACTGGCGTAAAAAATCTGTTTCCTGGCTCTTGCCTTCACTGTATTCTGTCCAAGGTCTTGATGC